GAATTAAAGTGGAGAAACGAACTAGTCATCCTGAAGCTCGTAGGTCACCTGTTATGAAACAAAAACTTGATCGAAACAAGGGTTCAATCAGCCACAACAGTGACAATGAATCAGCAGCAATCTTCCAGCCTTTGGGGGATCTTTTGGCTGATGTCCTGAACTGTGACCTATGTGGAAACACTGCTGTAAAAACCTCAAGCATTGACAAGGAGCAAATACCAACCCCCCGCAGCACTTCTCAACATATAGCAGCCCACAAGACAGAAAAACCTACTCCGAGCTTGAGTTTGGAATTGACTCTGAAACCAACCATGACAGGGGGAACGACTGCTGCAACAAGCTCTGCCATTGACAAGGAGCAAACACCAACCTTCACTTCTCAAGATATACCATGCAGCAAGACTGAAATGCCCAGTCTAAGCTTGAGTTTGGGATTGACTCTGAAACCAACCATGACAGGGGGACAACAGCATGCTTATATGCAAGAGACAGAACCCAAGACTATCGACTTCTTAAGGCTTTTATAGGGCTTGAAAGCAAGGTAGGAAGTTACAAGACTGAAGAGAAAGGGCAAACAAGCTTTAGTGATATGAATGAATGCTTATGTTAAGTTCCCTTTTGTTCTCTCTCCCTTTCTTTTTTTTTTTTTTTTTGCAAATGGTTTGGTAGCCTAGGATGTAAACTATTACTAGTGCTTGTATTCTCCTGGAATGTAAACTACTATTAGTGCTAATTTTGTTTGAAAATGGAAGTGGAAGCCTTAGTGAAGTGAGATGAATGAGTGCTTATGTTAAGTTCCCTTTTTTCCCTTTTTTATGTAAATCGTGTTGTATTCTCCTAGATTGTAAAATATCTAGTGCTCGTATTCTCCTGGGATGTAAAACACTACTAGTGCTTGTATTCTCCTAGGATGTAAAGTACTACTAGTTCTTGTATTCTTCTAGAATGTAAAACGCTACTAGTACTAATTTTATTTGAAAATGTTCTGTCACTGATTTGGTGTGGTTATGATGAGTTGAATTTTGTTTTGTTTCCATTTGTATTAGAATTCTAAGGGGGGTTGAGGAATGTTGTCAGGAAAGGTTAACCCTTAACACTAGCCTCGAATTGAGGAGATGAACTTTAAAGAGTTTCCAATTAAGTCAGTCTTAAACCAAAAAACTTCAGTAAAATTATAGGAGTAAATGATATTCAAGCAGTAGTGAGAATTGGACATCAAGATATACCACAAAGTGAGTGGTGTTGATATTTGACTAGATCATTTAGAAGAACGGTGAAATTAATGAAAAAATATTACCAAAATGATTTGAATAGATTGGATGAAACAAAATGGATGCATGCATTTGAAGTACTATGAAATAGTACAATATCAATTTTACTCGAAAAAATTTTTGCAAGATGCAAATAAGACCAGCAAGACTTTCTGGCTATGAATGAAGAAGTATACTTGAGATACAGATATTATAACAGTTGTGTGGCTCTATAAGAAAATGTAATTTTTGAAAAGAATGAATTTCAAAACAAAAGAAAAGAGGATGTAGTGTCGATTAATGAAAAAACAACTAAGATGGCATGAACATTGCGGCCAAGGCCTACAAATGCTCATGTAAAAAGATGTAAGCTATGGAAGATGTCCAAACCAAACAAGGAAACAACCAACAGATATAGATAAAACTATACTGTAAATGTTAGGATAGATTTGTGAACATAGTAGCTTCATAAAACCTTTACAGTGCAAAATCAATTAATAACAACACCAACCAAATGAGAAATTATTTCAAGAAGTTAATTAACAACAAATGTTAAAAAGCAAAATAGCATGAAGAAGGAAGCATTCATATGAATCAGATATCTATGTATAATCACAAAAAAGCTATCATACATAATTTACACACATAATTCTCTTTGAACTGTAAGAGAAGTAGTTTCATCCCAAAGTAATAGAGGCAAAGACAAATGCAGACATAACATCAATCGAAAAGCAGAAGGAAAAGGAATTACAGCGTACCATCAAGAAAAAATAAGGCAATCAACCATCAGAAGCACCATTAAAAGATCTTGTTATACTGGCTAGTGAGAGAATCCCTGAGATTAGAATAAAGGCCATACAGTGAGTACTGCCGAAGATTCTCCACTTCATACCATGAGTTGAGAGCAGAAAGGTGCTTATCTGTCCCAGAAAATGCTAGCTGTATCCCAAGACTGCAATCTACAGACCCTCCATGGTTTTTGCATTTATTTGTACTGATTGCACAGTCTTGCTTGTTTAGGCACACAAAATTTGATTGTCCTGAACATTGAGCACAACCATACCTTTTCCAATACAAGTTTTGCAGCCTGCCTTTCTTAAACTCAAGCACCTGCATAAAAGAAACAGTCATCAGTTTCTGTAGACTTTTACAAAGGTAAAATCTAATTCTGTACAAAAAGAAAAACGCAATCTCGTTAATCCCTTACAAGAGTGAAGCTTGTTACAGTGTAGGTACCGTTTGCCACAAAAGCAGGCAGGGATCTTGCAGCATATTTTCGACCAGCAAATGCAACAATATACCCACCAACCGAGTCCTGAAAAATGACATAGCAAAGCTTACAGAGATTATATGTCATATTCATGTGATAGTATTACATATTTGTCACTTCCCAAAGTAGAGAGAGAGCTCCGAATTGCTGGTTTGTCTGGTCAAGAATAAAAGTGATAATTTAGGGACTGTTCGGTTTTTAACAAAAATGCGTGATTTTACTTCTACATAGAAAATTATATTAAAACCGGTATTACATTTTAATCGTTTTCTCATTTTTAATCAATTAAGATTTCATTTTCTGTCATTAGCATTTGCACAAAAAGCAAACACCAAACGGGACCTTATCAAAGCCAATATACTAACTACATTAACTCAAATCCATGGATTCTCAGATATCATTGTTCCACAATTAAAAATTTCTAGAAATTATTAAACAAAAATGAAAACGGGGAGAGAACTGGAGGGGGACTAACCGGAGAGAAAGAGGAGGTGTTGATGGTGAGGAGAGAGATCTCATCAACTTTAGGTCTAAAGAGTGCGACGCGAGAGTTGTTTTTTGGACAGAGAAAGTCGGCCATCGCAAGGAGATAACTGAAGCGAGCTGTTGAAGAAGAACGATTGCCTTGATGCGAACGCAATCCCGAACGTGAAACCGTCCGATAACTGGACTTTCGTGTCCGAACAAGGCGCGTACTCGTGGTTCGTGTTGTCGCTTGATTCCACCAGAAGCGGCAGCGTCGCCGCCGCCACTACCAGAACAAGGAAAAAATAAACCACCGGTTGCGCCATTTTTTAATATATTTTTAATATTTGTTTTTGCTGATCAGGTGGATGTAAGCTCGCTGAGGGAGAAGGAATCGTATCGACGAGAGAAGTAAAAGGTAAAAGGAACTGCGACTGTGAATTTGGGCTGATTACTGGGACACAAGAAGTCGAAACAGAATTGGAGATTGGGCCCATTAGTTTTGGATTGTTCTTTGGCCCAAACATATCGAGTTTATGGAATCCCATTTTCTTCCTTTTATTTTTCATATAAAAATAAAAAAAATTTACTTTTATGTATTTAATATTATAAATTAAAATTTTTTTGTTTATATAACTAAATTTTAAATATAAAAATTAAGAGTATAATTTTATTTTTTTTTTGGCCTTCCTATAAGGTATTCAGAAATAAAAAAATTTATTTGAAACATTCCAAAAAAAAAGAAATAAATAATGGGGCGAAGAAAGTAAAATTATAAAAATTAACATGAGATGTATGCAAAATTTAATAAGGTAAAATAGAAAACTTTGGCTATCCAATCATCCAATTGAATCGCAATTAATGTCACATTATATTAAGGTTTATAAACCATAAACACAACATCATTTTTAAACCAAAAATGATTTTGAAAGGCTTGAAATCTCATATAACCTAAAAACTCCTCGCACATCCAAACAATTTGATATTAAAAACAAAACCACATGGAAACGTAAGTATATAATAAGAATAAAATTAACGAAATTATAGATTAAATAATTAAATTAACAATAATATTTACAAAGGGATGGAACTTTGCTTAAATCAAGTTTTTGGTTTAGTATTTTGGTGAATATTTTTAAATCTAACTCAATTCCATTTTGAAATTTTCCGAATAAAATATAGTTTGTTTTTATATGCTTTCAATAAAATTTTTTAACTACACAAATTGATTAAGAAATTGATATATATCTTTTTTTTATTTTTTTTATGTTTTAATATATCCTAAAAACCATGTATGTTAATTTTATTTGTAAAATTTAAAAAATATTATGATCAGTGGATGAAATAATTTTTTATAAAATATTACTATAATATAAACATTCTTACAAAATATTACTATTCATTAAAGAATATTTTTGTTAAAAACCATAAATTATTCTAATCTTATTAACCCTTTAAGTCTCACTTGCTATAAATAAATATTCTTACAAAAAAAAGTCAAATTTCAAACTACTTTTGCATCGTATCCATTAATGATTTGGTAAGTAATTTGGGAAGACTGTGAAGAAGATAGTTTTTCGAATTAAAATAAATTTATCGTTATATTATAGATAATATTGAATATTACTATTGTATTTTAATTTTATAAATTGTATCACTATACTTTCATATTTAGAAAAAAATAATTTTTATTTTTAGAAAAAAAATTTAAGAAAATTTAGCACTTGTATTAACAAAATGTCCAGCAAAATATTTTTCTCAAAAATTAAAAAAATTAAAAAATATATAATTGTGAAATTCAATAAATTAAAATGTGGTGATAAAATTTAATATTAAATAATAATATAATGATACGTTTAATCTTTTATAAAAATAAATAAAATGTATTTTTGTTAAATAAATAAGAAAAAAAAAAAAGGAAAAGGAAAAGAAAACCTCCGGCTTCAAGAAACCGAAAAAGACAACCAAAGACACCAATTTTTCTTTAAAAACGGAAAGGCCATTCACCTAACGGTCACCGCCAACCAACCGAAGGTCTGGTTTGTCCAATCAACAAATCTTACCCGTCCATAATGCGAATAACACAAATCAACGGTCCAGATGACTCCCAGTTTTGTAAACAACCGTACACATTCTCTCTTCCCTCTCCATATCTTCTCCAAACACATCGCCGTACATTTCCAAAACTCTGCTCTCTAAAAAACAAATAAATCCCCAAAATCTCCGATAACAGAAAAATTAATCTGTAAAAATCGAAATAGAATGAAGATGATCCAGTACAACCAGTTCATCGCACCCCTCTTGCTCCTGTCGTTGTGTCTGTTTGTTCCGTTGACCGTCGCCAACGACGTTAACTACTGCGGTTAGTCTCTCTAAACCCTTGCGTCCACCGCTTAAAATTTTGAAAATTGATTTTTATTGTGTTATTCGGTGGACATTATATTATGTAATTCTCTTATTGTTTTTAATTTTCTTTAATCAGGATTTTTCTTTTTTTTTTGTGTTGAAATTAGCTCTCCATATTAGAAATTGATTATTTTTTATTTTAAAAAAAATCTTAATAAATTTTCGAAAAAAAAAATGATACTAATGCAGATAAGAAAGCTGAATATGATGTAAAGGTTCAAAGAGTTGAGATTTCGCCTGACCCGATCGCCAGGGGCAAACCTGCTAACTTCAGTATCTTTGCAACAACAGGTAACTGATCAATGTTTTGTCATAATCTATTTGTTAATTGTTGTTTGGTGTTGTGATTTGGTGTTCACAACGTATGTGTTTGTATGGAGTCTTGTAGTTCCGGAGATTGATACCAGTATTATTGATTAATTATACGGTGGCTTTGTGTCACGTCCAATGATTGATGATGGTGGTTATAGTATGCAACCAAAATCAATGGTGTTTTTAGCTTTTGATTGAAGGTGGGTTGTACTTTCTATAATGATGATATACAGGTGCAGCAATCGCTGAGGGGAAACTGGTGATTGAGGTTTCGTATTTTGGATGGCACATTCACAGTGAGACTCATGACCTTTGTGATGAGACATCTTGCCCTGTGTCTACTAGTGATTTTGTGGTTTCCCATTCGCAAGTTTTGCCAGGATATACTCCCCCTGTAAGTCCCAACTTTATTTTTTTATTAATCCTTGGTGAATATATAGTTGGGTTTTTCTTTTTAAAATGTTCTTGCACTAACCGAAGATTTAAAATGCCTTGTTGCCAACTTGTTTGTCTAGTTTTGGCCAACTTTGCACAATGTTTAGGAATTAGGAGGGATGGAAAGAGGAGTGAAAAGAAAGATATATATATACATACATACATTTATATCTATGTATGTATATGTACAGTAAAGGAAGGGGCAGAAGAAAAAGACTTATCTTTTCTTTATTTTTATTTGAGTTGAGTAAATAAAAAGAATCAACAGGAAAACAACTGAAAAGGACTGAGAATCAGAATGCAAATTTGTAAAACTAAGTCAATGATTGGTCTTTTCCTTTTATTTAGATCCCATGCATTGAAAATTTGGGATTTCATGAAGGATGCAGAATCCCTTCCTTTCTCTTCCCTCATTGTATTCCCTCTTACTAAACCAATGGGATAACACAGTCTCCTTTATTTTAACCACGTTTTCCCTCATTTCAAGCATGTCTTTGCAAGTGTTATTTAGTCAGACCATGCTTTCAGTTCTCTCGAAGTTCCTTAGAAACAAGCCTTAACAGATAACAGATTTGATCATTATTTTCAAGTTAGGATAGAGTTGAATTTAGTTGTTTGTATATATTCCAACCTTTGTTTCATCATCTATGTTTTATCGCAAGCTAACTTATTGCAATATAACATTGCTTGTAAGTTTACTTGCACCAGGCTTGTCCTTGCTGTTTATTCACACAACTCAACTTTGATTTATATATGATCCAGAAGCAAAAGAAAAATCAGGGTTGTGTTCATTATTTGTTAAAGCATTTTTGTTAGCAAATGGAACTTTTTTGACAAAGAAACCTTTGACGGCTGCCATTAAATCCCCAGAAAAATAATCTTTACATTAAAACCTATGAAGACTTATGTCATATGTGTTTACTCATGCCCATGCTATAACGATCCAGTGAAAAACTAAAAACTTATGTTTCATGTGATATAGCCACTGTGGCATAAGCTTTTTGTAATTTGCACTAAGGTTGGTTAAGGTCGATTGCATGAGTAACACTGAATCTACTCAATAAAAAACATCATTTGCCTTGTTCTAATTGTGGAACACGATTTCTCTGCCCCTTCATTTGCTTTTCATATTATAAGCTTAGAATAAGGCCTCATTTTCTTTCTGGTACTGATCTTTGTTAAACATAATATAAGAGAATGCCCTCTTTTCAAGATTTTCATCTTGTCCATAATCATCTATGATTATTACTTATCCTTTGAGTTAGTCTTGTGTCTATTTCTCAAAGGTCCTCCATCATCTTCATATATTTGCATTTTCTTCAATGACATTTTGTTGTAAAGTCTCAAGTTTGCTTTTGTTTGTTTAATTGATTGATCAACAATGAAATTGAACAATGTATTCCCAATAGGCCTGTTGAGATCAATTGAGATTATTTAGGTGTGATGTAATGAAGGATTTTCACTTTAATCAATGACAAGGAAGTGCCGCCTTCATATAATTTTCTTTGATTAATATTTCTGACAACTTTTAACCTTATCCAGGGTTCCTACTCTCTGAAGATGAAGATGTATGACGCGAACAAGCATGAGTTGACATGCATTGGGTTTGATTTTAACATCGGGTTTGCATCATCTGTGGCTGATAGTTAAAACACTATAGTATTTTTAATGTTCTGTTACCCATGTAAAGTATTCTATACACTGTATGTTCCTTCCAACTTCACTCTTATCATGCATGTATAACTTTGATTATCCCAGTGACTTGTTGCTGTGAAAAGTTAAAGCTATTATGTTGCCAGTGGCGTCCATTGCTGGATGAAACCACTGTCTGATTCTTTAATAAATTTAAACCAAAATTCCTTAAGAATAGTATGATCTATCATCTACTATGCTACTTCCAGCGCCTTTTTGGAGGGGAAGAATCTTCGAACCTGACTCTTACTTGATGAAGCTTGAAATATGTCCAGCATGGGTTCACTCCAGTGAATGTCAAACCAAATTTTTGGCTTGAATTTCAAAAGCTAATAAGGGATTAAGAAAAAAAAAAGGTCCTTTATGGTTGAAGACAGGTTAGAATTAAGAATCAAACTCGGTGCAAAGGTGACTAGTGGTGGCACCTATCTAATGGGTTTCGAAATTGAATTAATGGCAAGGAAAGAGTAAAGCGTGCAGCCATTGCACGCTTACTATCATGACCATTTCTAACAGGCAACAGCGTCTTGTGCTAGCTGATATTTGGCTCATTTTTCATGCTATCATCTTCGTTTACAGAGCACCAATTGGATAGCACCATGTTATATCAATAAATCTTGTGCCACCAACTTTTCAACAATATGCAAATAAAAGGAACAAATTCAGTTTTGGGACTCAAGTCTATCTTGATTCATTGATTTCCTAGGCACCAAATCAATAGCATCTTGTTACTATAAATCTTGAGCACCCTCAACTTTTCAACATTATAGTGACACTGTGGTAAAATCCTGAAGGCAAGTTGATGCGAAAGAGTGGGCTCTTAAGATCTTTCTTAAGGAGAAGATTAAACCAAAAAAACTAGGGACACCCCTGACGATATTTTTTTTTAAAAAAGGCCTTTTCAACATTATGGAAATGGTAGGAATTAGGAAACAAATTCAGGTTGGTGACTCAATTCTAACTTGAAAGAACATCCTCGATCTGTGGAGTCCTTATTTTGGTGTCATTGAGCCTCTATTGACTGGCAGGTAAAAGTTGTTAAGTCGCATCTAAATAAAGTTTTTATTACCTCTCCCTTCTGTTTTTTTTTTTTGGCTTAAAACATAGAAGAACATCATCACAACAAAGTAGTATTAAGAACTATAATTATTATATTAATGAAGATAGAGACACGTTTGTCATTAAATTTTTTATTTTTTTAACTTGAATTTAACTTAATCGATTTATATAATTATTTTTAAAAAATAATATTTATCATATATGAGATTTAAATCTTGAAATCTCCAACCTCTTTTCTTTATTCTAAATTACAAGAGTTTTCTTTGTATCAAAAAACAAAATTCTTCATTGTTTCTTTGTACAAATTATTTGCTTTTAAGGAAGAAAGGTAAGGAAGGGACTGAATGATGCATGTTCTTGCCCTTATGCCATGATGAGATACAAAATGTTGGTTATGGGTCAGTGGACTCCAATGGTGAAGGGGTACCCCACTAATTCAGTAATCATTCAAAACTATTAAAAGCAACCAACACACAGCTTTTCAGTTTTCAATTTCCTGCCATTGGAAACCAAAAGAGAAACCTCATCATCCTATTGTCCTCTCTCTCCAATGTACTTTCTTGTTATTCTTATTCAAAGTTTCACTCCCTTCCATGCTTTCCTTTCTCAAAATTTTGAAGTGTTGCCCCTTTCATGTGTCAGAATTTCTAGTATCAGATCACTGTAAGAGATGAAAGGCACGAAGGGTAGATTTCTGAAGAAAATTAAATTTATTCCTACTATCAGCACTTCGAAACAAGGCTTAGTCCTTCAGCTTAATCCCCAACACACCTTCTCCAATCAGAATTGCCATAACCTATCAGTTTACAAAGAGCAAGACTGCAAAAGCAAAGACATTAGTCTCCCAGAATCAGTAGTTGATTTTAAAAATCAAAAGGATGAAGAAACAGAATTGGAACTCGACGTTGGCGACCAAGATAATGATTCACCCTGCATCAATTTGAAGGACACAGCGACTAGAGAATCTAATTCTCAGCTTCCAATCTCCTCGGAGACAATTGTCAAGGATGATAGCGTACCTGAAGAAGTGAAGGGGGACACTGAAGAATATCCTTCTCTAACAGATTTTGAAGAGAAATGTCCACCAGGTGGAGAAAAGTCAGTCATTTTCTATACAACAAGCTTGAGAGGAATAAGAAAAACATATGAAGGTTGCAGCAGTATCAGGCTAATTTTAGACAGTTTCAAGATAATAGTCCATGAGAGAGATGTTTCGATGGACATGGAATTCAGGGAAGAATTATGGAGGATAATGGGTGGCAAAGTGATCCCTCCAAAGCTGTTCATCAAGGGCAGATACATAGGAGGAGCTGATGAAGTTGTTGGACTTCACGAGCAAGGAAAGCTGAAGAAGCTCTTGGAAGAGATACCTTCAAGCCACCCCAACTGCCTGTGTACCGGTTGTGCCAATTTGCGCTTTCTGGTTTGCTCATACTGCAATGGCAGCCGCAAGGTTTATGCAGAAAAGGAAGGTGTTCATGAATTCTGCCTTAAAAAATGCCTTGATTGTAATGAGAATGGATTGGTCAAATGCCCTGTTTGCTGCTGAATGTCCTTGTTGTAGCCTTTCTTGATGTATATTTTCCTTGCATTGTCTAACATATTCTTACCTAGAATCAAATTGCTGCTGTTCCAAGTCCCATTGGAAGGTCTCAATTTAGTGTTTATGGATGACGAAAATGATGAACCGTGTATCTAATTTCCTTCTACTGATATAACAATGGTCTAAATTATGCTGTCTTTGTTATTTGAATATCAGATTTTCTCTTTCATTTCCTTCCTTCATCAGCTTCTTCTTGTTTTTATTTTTTTTTCAATGCAGAGGGCTTTGAAACTTGTACAGTAGTGCTTGGACATACTTAAAACAGAACTTTTTTGCATTAAATTGTGCAGATGAGAAACTACAACTCTTTATTTTTGTGGGATCTTTCAACGGATATTCTTTTTCTTTCACGGAAATCGATTTTTGGAATTTGCCACGGAAACATGTTTGATTCTTGTTCTCACTTTCCAAAATTTAATGAACTTTTACTTTTTCCTTTGTCATCTTTTAATTTGTTTTTATTTTTTTTCTTTAATGCATGTAAAAGTAAAGCAAAAGTTAAATTGAAAATTTAATCTAATTTATACAATCACTTTTAAAAAATAATATTAAACAAATTTAATATTTTTATTATATAATTCTTTGACTTTATTCAAATTACTGTCTCTTGTATAAAAAATAAAAGAATTGTTGAATTAAACTTTTACCCTTAATTTTAGGATAAAAGTTTTAACAAATTTGGTGCCAAACTATCAATCTATATGGTTAAAACCCACATGTTTTCACTTTCTCAAAGAGTCAAAGAATAAAGGGAACATTACCAACCAATTCCTTTCACTTTCTATTTCCAAAAGTAAAAATAAAGTCAAGTCATTATCAAACCAAACAAACCTAAACAATTTCAGAGATAAATGTTATTAAGATAAAAACAATACCAATTTCTGAATGTTTGGTAACGTGAAATGCACCAAATTGAAGAAGCATGGAAAAGGACATGTGGGGGTTTGGAAAAAAAAAACCTAGCCCAAGTACTTTCTTGATAAGTAGAGGTCGAGGTTGACAAATTTGAAGTTATGTCATCATCTAGATGAGACTGGAATGATTAGTAGGGCAAAGAAGGCACATGGCTCTTCCTTAAGATGTAGATAAAGTTATAGAGAGGAATCAAATAGTAAAAATAGTAAAGAAAAAGTTGACCTCATGAATCATTTTCTCCAACAGCTTTACCCCAAAGAGCAAAGACAGCTTTCATGATTTGCATGGTCAGCTTTGTGTAATACTAGTAATTTGGAACAGTTTATGGGTCTTTTCTAGAAGATAATCAAGGGTATTTCGATTTTAATCGAAAATCAATTTTTTCCCGAACAATCTTAAGTAAATACTATCGTTTAGAATTTTATCCTAATTCTCTTTATCATTGTACCGTATTTATTCTATAAAAATCTATTCTTTCGCACTCCCTGATTTCACTATCAAAGGACCATTGGATCCTTGGCTTCACTTTTGACATAGAGATTTTAAGCTTGACATCGAAGTATATCATTTAACTCTTTTAGTTTTAATTTTAATCTTAGTTCCAAGCAAAGCAATAAGTTGAAGAAGTATTCTGATTTCTAGCTGAACCCAGACGTGTGATTTTATGGCTCACACTTTTAACAAGCTTTTTCATGTGCATGAAATGAATATAGAAAAAAGAATTGGAGCCCTGGAATTCTGGGAAGGTTCACAATTATGATGGTATGAAATTCAAGTATCTTCATTTAACTAATTAACTTAATCTTGGATCACTAAAGCCTAGCTCAATAAACTTATATGGACAAGATTATTTTAATAATAAAATTATTTTGATGATTAAATTATTATAATTTTAAAAATAATATCAAATGCTACCTATAAATGAAAAAAGTTGACATAGGGAAGCTTTCTTTTTTTTAATAAATGTCTTGAATTCTAGAATCAAATTTGAAAATCCTACCCCAACAATTTTCTTATTAAAACAAAAAAAAGAGTTTGATGCCTTAAAAGGTTCCATCAAAGTCTCATCAACAGCCTTGGTTTTGACGGGCTCAACTGCATGGACGGGATCTGAAGCAGGATTTAAACAAAACTCCCCCACAAGATTATCAATAACAGGCTTAGGGCCTCAGGCTAAGTTTGTAAATATACCTGGAATTTTCCCAATATTTAACAGCTGTAACAAAATGTTATCCCATCCAAGGCTGTCCTGTTTAGACAGCTGCTAATTTTATACTGATGACAAACACCTTGACAATCTCTGAAAGAATAGTATTAGGTTTGGTTTTCATCGATTTTTTTATTCGAGTTGAATAAAAATTAGACATTAAATATATAAATTAAATTTAAATTGAATTTTAGATCAAAAAATAAAAAATAAAAGAAATCAAATCGAATTGAATTATATATTTTTTAAATTTTTATAAATTAAAAAAAATAATTTTATATCAAAATTTATTTAAAATATATTAATTTTATATTAAAATAATATTTATAAATTAATAAATTAATAAATCAAACCGATAAAATTTGATTTAATGTGAATTAAATAATATAAAAAATCGATTAACATTCTAATTAAATTTTAAAAATTTATAATATTATATAATATTTAAAAAATAAAATTAAATATGGTTATCATCTTCATTGAAAATCATAATTTCTAATAAAGACAATTTAATCTCAAATCTTTTATAAGACTTCGTATCATCAAGCTAAGGAAGGCTGTTGAATTGTTTTCATTTTAAAGTTATAAAACGATTGAAAAATGGTTGTGTTTTAATCTGCTTTTGTCAAAGCATGCAAATCCCGCGGCATGCGCCAATGATTGTCGAACTTTTGAGCAGTTTAGCTTTTTTTAACAAAAAATTTGAGATAAATAAATTATTTAATCTTTAAATTATAAAATATATTATATCTAATAATTTAAAATAAATAATCATAAATTATATATTCAAAATGATTTTAATAAATAATCATCAACAAAATTTAAATTTAAAAATTTTTCATAAAAAACAAACTTAACCAGTTAAACCATTATCCAATGTTTGCTCAAACCAATGGATGGAAAAAGTCAGAAACCTCTCCTTCCCTTATCAATCATCGTCATCATTATCATCATTGTAACAAACTGCGAAGACAACAACATGAAAGAAAAGATTTGATTTCCAATGCAACTGCCACGACTGTAAAAGAATCCAAGATAATGCAAGAGCTAACAGTTTCAGCCCTTCATCTACTATTAGAAGATTGAAAAAATGCGTGTTTAAAATCCAATCTCTTCACTTCCCTTGATAGTAAAAAAAATAAATTTTAGGTTGCATCTGTTTTGCGAAAATATTTTCCACCATTTCTTCATTTTCTAACATTTGATGGAGGAAAAAAAATTTAATGATTGACAGAAACCTAGAACTAGTCTAAAAAAATTTCCAAAATTTGGAAATTATCTTCATTTTTGAAAAAGCCAAAGACAATTTCTTAGGATAAAACACCCAAAACAGAAAATGAATGTTAACATTAAGTTTGATTAGTTCTGACAGAGTTATTTTTGGATTTAAAGATACTTTGATCATTTTATTTATTAGGAATCGTTAATAGAAAAATAAAGATATTTTAAATTTTTAAATCGATCTGATGGATATAATATTATATCAGTTCGATTAATCATTATTTTACTTTATAGATATCTCATTTTAAACTTATAAATGAAATATTTAAATACTATCATTTTATTTTTTTATTATACTTTTTTTTCTCCTTTCATTTTTTTTTATATCAACTTTTAATTTTAACGTCAAAATATAAATATAAAAAAGGTTATCTCTCTTTATTATATATCACTTTTTTTTTATTATGATTTCAGAATTTGGACTTTCATTTTGAAACTCAAACACAAACAAGTTCCGAACGCAAGGTAACCAGAGAATGAATGTTTCGAGCCGTACTAAACGTATAATTCGGAAGCTAAAAGGACATATCGTCGACGTGTAATGTAGGGGTTAGAAGCCAGAAAAACCTTTGCTCAACAATTGGCATGGTAATTTAACTTGGTCACGAGAATGTGCCAGATAAAAGTAGTCGAGGGAATCAAAAGAAGGAACTTTACAGTAGGGTCATACGTTTCAAAGATTCTTTTTCTCAGGCCTCAAAACCAACCTCGAAAAATTCTCCTTTACCTTGCGCACGATACAGGGAAGGGAAAAAGAAAAGAAATCTGGATTTTTGTCAGAGTATTTTTTACTTTTTCCTTTTTCTTCAGAAGATTAGATTCTAACTTTGAAAGCGCAGGCTCGGATCATAGTAATCAGCCTTTTTTCTAGCAGAGAATCATAGTCATCAGCCATTAAATCACATACACAACCGTAAGATTTTCAGTCTGTGAAAATGCCAGATGCTAGAACAGGAGAATATTTCGACAATTGTTAAAAGGATAAAAGGCGTTTAAGCCAAACCAGTTAACCTGTTCCCCAGAAAGATGGCAAATGGGGAAGTGACGCAACTAGAAAAGAAGCCAACAGACACAAATTTAACTCCAGCATATGAGAAAAGTTGATGTTCTTTTGAAGTCAACTTAGGAGAAACACAACTCTATTTGCCAAACTGATTGAAAAAAGCTCACATGGGTTCCTCTTTGTTAAACCTCATTCACATCATAGGATACCCATAGTAAAAGAAAGAAAACAAGTTAGAGTAATCACACTTTTCCTAGAATTTACAGTAAGTCTCTATGCAGCAAATTCAGTTAATGGAACTTCGAGCGACAGTGGTGTGGCTGTTGTCATTGGAGTTGCGGAAGTCTCAGGTAGTGGCTGCAAGAACTCAGTATAGTGGAATTCAATCTGTAGTCGGTGATGTAGTGGTGTTGATGCCATTAAACCCTTCTTGATATCAGCCTGCAATTCCCTAATAGGTATAGCAGCCAAGAAGCTTTTTACGTATTCCTTGCAGGACTCCTTTCCTTGGCAAACAACCTCCTCACTGTCCTCACTCTTGACTGATTCCTCAGGTTTGGTTACTACAGCCTCTGCAACAGAACCCTCCTCCCTCCCATTGACCCGTCTAACCTGTGAAATTTTAGGTTCAGCTGGAGCTGTTGCTATCTGCTGATCAACAGTTGGCTTATCATCTGATGATTGAGCTACATTTGATAGTTTGTGAATTACTGTATTGTTGTCAAATTTCAAGATATAAGCTTGATTGCATCCCTCATAAAGCCTCTCTCCTAATGTGTCAATGATGTAGTAAGCTTCTGGTTCAACCTTAAGGATAAAAAAATGGTCATTCCAACTAACAAGTAAACCTGAGGTTCACCACTGTTAGGACATTCTGCACCAGTGCGACTAATCTCATCCCAGATGTTATCAAATGACATTGCACCATGCAAAAAGTCAAATCTTCCCTCATCATCCCCTCTGGATGGAAAAACCCAATAAAAGACTTCCTTGGCACTACAGAAAGAGGACGTATTTTAGCTTGGAGAACCGTCTCAAGATCAAAGTGCTTGTCAGCGAACCGCTCCCTATAGGTTTCATTCTCACAGAGGTTCCTCCATTCCATTGAGCCTTCTCTGATCAAACTATCAAATTGAGACTTAATAGGCATCAGATCACGATTGTTCTGAAACCAATCAGCAATAACAGCTACAAGGGCTGTACATGCACTTTCACCAGCTGCTCGCTCGCTCCGTTGATCAATAGAAGCAAAGAAGACCTGCGCTTGAAGCTTCAAGTGTCCATCACGGCTTACCACTTTTTTCTGTTCCCAACTGCCAATAGCAAAATTATCGTCCCCAAATTCAGAAACTGATGAACGGTTTGCAGATGAATCTTCATCTGTCTTGTGCCACTGTCAAAACAAATGGTAGTTATATTTGGAACTTAATATACTTTACTCTGGTAATGTCAAAATAAATGGTATTTATATTTAGAAGTTGATATACTTTACTCCAGCAATAACTGTGAAGGAACAAACAATTGGAATCAATAATACTACAAAATTCTAAAAATATAGCCAACTAAGGCTTTGTAAAAGTAATATTCATTGAAGAAATGGAACCATTCAAACTAGCTGAGATGACAAAGGTATGAATTATGTTAGAATGTAGGATATGAAAATCCCCAATCAAATATATAAACACATGCACCTTTAAAGTTGCTTGCATTCATAAGAAAATCATGTGATAACTTGATAAAAACTCAGCATTAATAATCCCACATATTGGTCAATGTAATCAGTTCCGGCTACTAATGTGAGAGCATGGAAAATCAAAAGAAAATCATCTTAAATACCAGGGTGTACTTTTCCCTTTTCTTCAGCAAGCTTGAAGACAGAGAGGAGAAATGTGAATTAAACTAAAAAGTTAAGAAATTATTCTTACCCCAAGTGCAAGAGATTCATCAGAGCTAAGCTGACGGCGGTCAAAATCAATGTCATCCCCACCTTCTTCTCCATAGGCTTTCTTTAACAATGGCTACCCTTTCGCTTTAGGAGACCTGAAGCTCGGCTTCCTTTTCCTCCAAGACAAAATGCTGCGCTTGGAACTCTGCAGCAGGGATGGCTCTGATACTGATGCAGCAGAATCCTCGATGTTTGAGCAGCCAACATCTGATTTACGATTGCTGTAATACACCCAATCCTCACCTTCCTCATTGATCTTCATGCTGAAGTAAAATGATCCTCCAGCATAATTCGCATATGCCAGAGTACCATAACTAAATGACTTCCTGACAACAATGTCATCCTTTCCCTCATCTGATTCTCCTTCTTCAAAGTCATCAAGTGAATCTGTGTCCAATGGATACTCACCATCATCACTCCTGGCAGAACACCTTCCTTCACTGCTCTCAGCACTTTGAAACAAGGCTTAGTCCTTCAGCTTAATCCCCAACACACCTTCTCCAATCAGAATTACCATAACCTATCAGTTTACAAAGAACAAGACTGCAAAACAGCGAAAGCAAAAACATTAATCTCCCAGAATCAGTAGTTGATTTTAAAGATCAAAAGGATGAAGAAACAGAATTTTAACTCGATGTTGGCGACCAAGATAATGATTCACCCTGCATAGATTTGAAGGACACAGTAACTAGAGAGTCTAATTCTCAGCTTCCAATCTCCTCGGAGACAATTGTCAAGGATGATAGCATACCTGAAGAAGTGAAGGGGGACAATGAAGAACATCCTTCTCTAACAGATTTTGAAGAGAAATATCCACCATGTGGAGAAGAGTCAGTCATTTTCTATACAACAAGCTTGAGAGGAACAAGAAAAACATATGAAGATTGCAGCAGTATCAGGTTTCTTTTAGACAGTTTCAAGATAATAGTCAATGAGAGAGATGTTTCGATGGACATGGAATTCAGGGAAGAATTATGGAGGATAATGAGTGGCAAAGTGATCCCTCCAAAGCTGTTTATCAAGGGCAGATACATAGGAGGAGCTGGTGAAGTTGTTGGACTTCACGAGCAAGGAAAGCTGAAGAAGCTCTTGGAAGAGATACCTTCAAGCCACCCCAACTGCCTGTGTACCGGTTGTGCCAATTTGCGCTTTCTGGTTTGCTCAAACTGCAATGGCAGCCGCAAGGTTTATGCAGAAAAGGAAGGAGATCATGAATTCTGCATTAAAAAATGCCCTGATTGTAATGAGAATGGATTGGTCAAATGCCCTGTTTGCTGCTGAATGTCCTTCTTGTACCCTTTCTTGATGTGTATTTTCCTTGCATTGTCTAACATATTCTAACCTAGAATCAAATTGCTGCTGTTTCAAGTCCCATTGGAAGGTCTCAATTTAGTGTTTATGGATGACGAAAATGATGAACTGTGTATCTAATTTCCTTCTACTGATATAACAACGGTCTAAATTATGCTGTCTTTGTTATTTGAATATCAGATTTTCTCTTTCATTTCCTTCCTTCATCAGCTTCTTCTTGTTTTTATTTTTTTTTCATGGCAGAGGGCTTTGAAACTTGTATAGTAGTGCTTGGACATTCTTAAAACAGAACTTTGTTGCATTAAATTGTGCAGATGAGAAACTACAACCCTTTGTTTTTGTGGGATCTTTCAACGGATATTCTTTTTCTTTCACGGAAATCGATTTTTTGGGATGCTATTGTCACGGTAACATGTTTGGTTCTTGTTCTCACTTTCCAAAATTTAATGACTTTATACTTTTTCCTTTGTCATCTTTTAATTTGTTTTTTTTTTTCTTTAATGCATGTAAAGTCAAGCAGAAGTTAAATTGGAAATTTAATCTAGTTTACACAATCACTTTTGAAAATAACATTAAGCAAATTTAAGATTTTGTTATATAATTTTTGACTTAATCAAATTACGGTCTCTTTTATGAAAAAATAAAAGAATTGTTTAATTAAACTTTTATCCTTAATTTTAGGATAAAAGTTTTAACAAATTTGGTACCAAACTATCAGTCAATATGGTTAAAACCCACATGTTTTCACTTTCTCAAAGAGTCAAACAATTCCTTTCTCTTTCTATTTCCAAAAGTAAAAATAAAGTCAGTCATTACCAAACCAAACAAACCTAAATAATTTCAGAGATAAATGTTATTAAAGATAAAACAATACCAATTTCTGAAGGTATGGTAATGTGAAATGCACCAAATTGAAGAAGCATGGAAAAGGATATGTGGGGGTTTGGAAAAAAAAAAACTAGCACAAGTACTTCTTGATAAGTAGAGGTGAAGGTTGACAAATTTGAAGTTATGTCATCATCTAGATGAGACTGGAATGATTAGTAGGGCAAAGGAGGCACATGGCTCTTCCTTAAGATGTAGATAAAGTTATAGAGAGGAATCAAATAGTGAAAATAGTGAAGATAAAGGTGTGACCTTATGAATCATTTTCTCCAACAGCTTTACCCCAAAGAGCAAAGACAGCTTGCTTGATTTGCATGGTCAGCTTTGAGTAATAGTAGTAATTTGGAACAATTTATGGGTCTTTTCTAGAAGATAATCAAGGGTATTTCGATTTTAATCGAAAACTAATTTTTTTCCGAACAATCTTAAGTAAATACTCTCGTTTAGAAATTTATCCTAATTCCCTTTATCATTGTACCGTATTTATTTTATAAAAATCTATTATTTTGCTCTCTCTGATTTCACTATCAAAGGACTATTGGATCCTTGGCTTCACTTTTGACATAGAGATTTTAAGCTTGACATCGAAGTATATCATTTAACTCTTTTAGTTTTAATTTTAATCTTTGTTCTAAGCAAAGCAAGCAAAGGAATAAGTTGAGGTAAAGTATTCTGATTTCTAGCTGAACCCAGACGTGTGATTTTATGGCATACACTTTAACAGGCTTTTTCTTATGGATGAGATGAATATAAAAAAAGGAAATGGACCCGGCTCATAATGATGACAACGGATCGGATCAGGTTTTTACTCGCCTCTAATCCGATCCAACTTTAAACATATAAAATCCGTATTCGTAATCGATTCGATAAATTTTTTATTTTTAATACCCAAACCCGATTTGATATTGTATAAAATCAAATTCGACCCGATCAAACCTGAAATTAATAAAATATTATTTTAAATATAAATATAAAATTAAATATATATACAGATATATAAAACTAAATATAAAATTAAAAAAATAATTTTTTTATATATATCGAGTAGAATTTACCTAAAATTCGATCCCGACTCGAACTCGAAATTCTTTTACCCTACTCGACCCGATACCTAATTTTAAAAAAAAAAAATCGATCCTAAAGAGATCGGATCGAGTCAAAACCCCTGAATTTCAGGTATTTTTATATTCCCTACCAACTCAACGGTCTTAAAGCCCTAAAATTCTTGGACAGTTCACAATTATGATGGTATGAAATTTAAGTATCTTTATTTAACTAAATAACTTAATCTTATATCACAAAAGCCTAGCTCAATAAACTCATATCAAAGTCTGATAAGATTATTTTAATAATAAAATTATTTTGATGATTAAATTATTATAATTTTAAAAATAATATCAAATGCTACCTATAAATGAAAAAAGTTGACATAGCGAAGCTTTTTTTTTTAATAAATGTCTTGAATTCTAAAATCAAATTTGAAAATCCTAACCCAACAATTTTCTTATAAAAAAAAAAGAGTTTGATGCTTTAAAAGGCCCCATCAAAGTTTCATCGAAAGCTTTGGTTTTGATGGGCTCAACTGCTTGGACAGCATCGGAAGCGGGATTTAGGGCCTGAAGGGGGTTTAAACAAGACAAAACTTCCCCACCAGAATATCAATAACAGGCTTAGGGCCTCAGGCTAAGTTTGTTAATATTCCTGGAATTTCCCCAATATTTAACAACTGTAACCGAATGTTACCCATCCAAGGCTTCCTGGCAAGACAGCTGCCGATTTAAAACTGATAACAAACACGTTGACAATCTCTGAAAGAATAGTATTCCGCTTGGTTTTGATCGATTTTTTCATTTAAATTGAATAAAATTTAGATATTAAATATATTAAATTTAAATTAAATTTTAAATCAAAAGATAAAAAATAAAAAAATTAATTTGAAATAAATTATTTTTTTATTAATTTTTATACATATTTTAACTTTTTATAAAATAAAAAATAATAATTTTATATCAAAATTCATTTAAATATATTAAAATTTTGTATTAAAATAATATAAAAAAATTTTAAAAATTAAATTAAAAATCAATAAAATTAACTAATAAAATTTAATTTTATTCGAATTAGATGATATAAAAAATCAACTAGCATTTTAATCGAATTTTATAATTTTATAATATTATATAATATTAAATTAAATTAAATTAAATTTGATTTAATTCAAATAGTTATCACTTTAATTGAAAAGCATAATTTTTTTTAATAAAGACAATTTAATCTCAAATCTTTTATAAGACTTCCTATCATCAAGCCAAGGAAGGATGTTGCAGTTTGAATTGTTCTCATTTTAAAGTTATAAAACGATGGAAAAACGGTTGTGTTTTAATCTGCTTTTGTCAAAGCATGCAAATCCCGCGGCATGCGCCAATGATTGTCATACTTTTGAGCACTTTAGCTTTAGCTTTAAGGGCTACACGTTTTAGTCTAAACTCAATCCAATGTTTGCTCAAACATAGGTTGGAAAAAGCCAGAAACCTCTCCTTCCCTCATCAATCATCATCATCATTGTCATCATCATTACAAACTGCGAAGACAACAACTTGAAAGAAAATATTTGTTTTCCAATGCAACTGCCACGACTGTAAAAGAATCCAACATAATGCAAGAGCTAACAGTTTCAGCCCTTCATATACTCTTAGAAGATTGAAAAAATGCGTGTTTAAAATCCAATCTCTTCACTTCCCTTAACAATTAAAAAAAAAAAAATTAGGTTGCATTTGTTTTGCGAAAATATTTTCCACCATTTCTTCATTTTCTAACATTTGATGGAGAAAAAAATTTAACGATTGACTGAAACCTAGAACTAGTCAGTCTAAAAAAATTTCCAAAATTTGGAAATTATCTTCATTTTTTAAAAAGCCAAAGACAATTTCTTAGGATAAAACACCCAAAACAGAAAATGAATGTTATTATTATGTCTGATTAGTTCTAACAGAGATATTTTGGGATTTAAAAGGTACTTTAATAATTTTATTTATTAAAAATTATTAATAGATAAATAAAGATATTTTAAATTTTTAAATCGATTTGATATATATAATATTATATCAACTCGATTAATCACTATTTTATCTTACAAATTTTTCACTTTAAGTTTATAAATGAGGCATTCAAATGTTATCATTTTATTTTTATATTATATTTTCTCTCCTTATTTCTCTTATATCAATTTTTAACTTGAACATTGAAATGTAAACATAAAGAACGTTCTCTGTTTTATTATTAATCACTCTTTTTTTATTATGATTTCAGATTTTTTACTTTTAATTTGAAACTCAACACAAACAAGTTCTGAACGCAAGGCAACCAGAGAATGAATGTTTCGAGCCGTACTAAACGTATAATTCGAAAGCTAAAAGGACATATCCTCGACGTGTAGTATAGGGGTTAGAAACCAGAAAAACCTTTGCTCAACAATTGGCATAGTAATTCAACTTGGTCACGAGGATGTGCCAGATAAAAGTAGTTGAGGGAATCAAAAGAAGGAACTTTACAGTAGGGTCATACGTTTCAAAGATTCTTTTTCTCAGGGCTCAAAACCAACCTCGAAAAGTTCCCCTTTACCTTGCGCAGGATACAGGGAAGGGAAAAAGAAAAGAATATCTGGATTTTTGTCAGAGTATTTTTTTTCCTTTTTCCTTTTTTCTTCAGAAGATTAGATTCCAACTTTGAAAGCGTAGGCTCGGATCATGGTCATCAGCCTTTTTTCTGGCAGAGAATCGTAGTCATCAGCCATGAAATCACATACACAACAGTAAGATTTTCAGTCTGTGAAAATGCCAGATGCTAGAACAGGAGAATATTTCGACAATTGTTAAAAGGATAAAAGGCGTTTAAGCCAAACCAGTTAACCTGCTCCCTAGAAAGATGGCAAATGGGGAAGTGATGCAACTAGAAAAGAAGCCAACAGACACAAATTTAACTCCAGCATATGAGAAAAGTTGATGTTCTTTTGAAGTCAACTTAGGAGAAACACAACTCTATTTGCCAAACTGATTGAAAAAAGCTCACATGGGTTCCTCTTTGTTAAACCACATTCACATCATAGGATACCCATGGTAAAAGAAAGAAAACAAGTTAGAGTAATCACACTTTTCCTAGAATTTACAGTAAGTCTCTATGCAGCAAATTCAGTTAATGGAACTTCGAGCGACAGTGGTGTGGCTGTTGTCATTGGAGTTGCGGAAGTCTCAGGTAGTGGCTGCAAGAACTCAGTATAGTGGAATTCAATCTGTAGTCGGTGATGTAGTGGTGTTGATGCCATTAAACCCTTCTTGATATCAGCCTGCAATTCCCTAATAGGTATAGCAGCCAAGAAACTTTTTATGTATTCCTTGCAGGACTCCTTTCCTTGGCAAACAACCTCCTCACTGTCCTCACTCTTGACTGATTCCTCAGGTTTGGTTACTACAGCCTCTGCAACAGAACCCTCCTCCCTCCCATTGACCTGTTTAACCTGTGAAATTTTAGGTTCAGCTGGAGCTGTTGCTATCTGCTGATCACCAGTTGGCTTATCATCTGATGATTGAGCCACATTTGATAGCTTGTGAATCACTGTATTGTTGTCAAATTTCAAGATGTAAGCTTGATTGCATCCCTCATAAAGCCTCTCTCCTAATGTGTCAATGATGTAGTAAGCTTCTGGTTCAACCTTAAGGATAAAAAAATGGTCATTCCAACTAACAATGTAAACCTGAGGTTCACCACTGTTAGGACATTCTGCACCAGTGCGACTAATCTCATCCCAGATGTTATCAAATGACATTGCACCATGCAAAAAGTCAAATCTTCCCTCATCCATCCCCTCTGGATGGAAAAACCCAATAAAAGACTTCCTTGGCACTACAGAAAGAGGACGTATTTTAGCTTGGAGAACCGTCTCAAGATCAAAGTGCTTGTCAGCGAACCACTCCCTATAGGTTTCATTCTCACAGAGGTTCCTCCATTCCATTGAGCCTTCTCTGATCAAACTATCAAATTGAGACTTAATAGGCATCAGATCACGATTGTTCTGAAACCAATCAGCAATAACAGCTACAAGGGCTGTACATGCACTTTCACCAGCTGCTCGCTCGCTCCGTTGATCAATAGAAGCAAAGAAGACCTGCGCTTGAAGCTTCATGTGTCCATCACGGCTTACCACTTCTTTCCGTTCCCAACTGCCAATAGCAAAATTATCTTCCCCAAATTCAGAAACTGATGAACGGTTTGCAGATGAATCTTCATCTGTCTTGTGCCACTGTCAAAACAAATGGTAGGTATATTTGGAACTTAATATACTTAACTCTGGTAATGTCAAAATAAATGGTATTTATATTTAGAAGTTAATATACTTTACTCCAGTAATAACTGTGAAGGAACAAACAATTGGAGTCAATAATACTGCAAAATTCTAAAAATAAAGCCAACTAAGGCTTTGTAAAAGTAATATTCATTGAAGAAATGGAACCATTCAAACTAGCTGAGATGACAAAAGTATGAATTATGTTAGAATGTAGGATATCAAAATCCCCAATCAAATATATAAATACTTGCACCTTTAAAGTTGCTTGCATTCATAAGAAAATCATGTGATAACTTGATAAAAACTCAGCATTAATAATCCCACATATTGGTCAATGTAATCAGTTCCGGCTACTAATGTGAGAGCATGGAAAATCAAAAGAAAATCATCTTAAATACCAGGGTGTACTTTTCCCTTTTCTTCAGCAAGCTTGAAGACAGAGAGGAGAAATGTGAATTAAACTAAAAAGTTAAGAAATTATTCTTACCCCAAGTGCAAGAGATTCATCAGAGCTAAGCTGACGGCGGTCAAAATCAATGTCATCCCCACCTTCTTCTCCATAGGCTTTCTTTAACAATGGCTCCCCTTTCGCTTTAGGAGGCCTGAAGCTCGGCTTCCTTTTCCTCCAAGACAAAATGCTGCGCTTGGAACTCTGCAGCAGGGATGGCTCTGATACTGATGCGGCAGAATCCTCAATGTTTGAGCAGCCAACATCTGATTTACGATTGCTGTAGTACACCCAATCCTCACCTTCCTCACTGATCTTCATGCTGGAGTAAAATGATCCTCCAGCATAATTCGCATATGCCAGAGTACCATAACTAAATGACTTCCTGACAACAATGTCATCCTTTCCCTCATCTGATTCTCCTTCCTCAAAGTCATCAAGTGAATCTGTGTCCAATGGATATTCACCATCATCACTCCTGGCAGAACACCTTCCTTCACTGCTCTCATCCTCTCGACAAGCTTTTTTTGCCCTCCTGGTAGAAACATACTCTGTAAAAATTTTCACTTTTCTAAGGCCAGCTTTAATTGCAGAGCGCTCATCCTTTTCCGTTGAGACAGTTTCTCCAGACCGGAGAGGTGATGCAACAGGCACTAATGCTCTCTGTACTGGCTCAGTGGTTTCTTGAGCAGTTCTTAGTTCCAACAAGCAAAGTGATATCTACGTGATGAATGAGAACTTAAAATTAGAATCAAACATAGTAGAGTTCAGCATGAAAAACTTTTTAAGGGACATACACAGAGTTGGGAACAAGGGTCAGCGGCACCAGTGGAGAGTGTGAGAGGGACGTTTAACTCAAACTCTTTCTGTTCAGCAGCAGAAGCATATTCAGCAAGATTCAGTGATGCTGTCCCAACAACAGGAAACTTGTTCTTAGGTCCCTGGTTCAAGCCCTGCATCAAGAAAAATAACTTTCAATTAGTTTGAAAAGTTAAAAGCTAACTTCTTGAAACCAACTATAGTAGAAAACTGACCAAAAAAAAAAAAAAATACTGTAAAAACATGAGGATAAACAATTTCTGGAGGTAAGAATCCCTCTTCCTCCAATGATCAGCATAAAAAAAAAATAAAAAAAAAAAACACGTCCACCACAGTTTCTACATATCATGTTCAATAAAGCTAAACCTCTCAAAAAGTTCAGACAGAATACAATTACTCCAACAAACAACTAAAAGATGGATGAATATAGCCGCTTGAGATATTTTCTATGAAATGAAATTAGCAATAGTTCATAAATACCACCAACTCCCCAACAGTCAACTGTCATAAAGAAACAAAACATAATATTTTCTACATATGATGTCCAATTGTCTTGAAAAGAGATTCAATTCAACCGAATTAACAGTAGAAATGATTCTAAACTAAATCCAGTCTTACGAATTCTTACAGAACACAGATCATTTCAGAAAATCTTCGTTCAAATTTGAGACCAATCAAACAACGAAAATAACATACCCAAGAAAATGCAAAATATAATAAAAAAAAGTCATAGACATAAAAACAATTCCCTGAAAATCCGATGAATTTGAAATACCCAAAACCCAAAAGGCCAAAACTTTTAAAATCTAAACCCAAAAATTGTCAACAATTTTATCATTTTTTTTAGGAACAAACGCACAGGAATAAAAGAAAGAACAAAAAAGAAACTTTTTTGGTGGGACTTACATTCAAGACAGAGAAAGCGATCTCCCAAGGATGAAACACATTCTCCTTATAAGCCGATAAGCTACAACGGGTTTGAAACTCCTCATCCCATACAACGACGCCGTTCTCGTCAGCGCCGTCGACTTCTTTCGTGAAATTCCTCTTAACCGTTCGT